TTTTCGAAGTAGCGTTCTGATGCTACCTTTAGATACTTACGTATCGGTTCTAAATTTAGATCGTCGTGAAGGTCGACATTACCCATGTATCACGCTGCTCCGATGGCTCTCCTGCAGAAATGGGATTGGATGACCTGTGACCTGGGAAGAGTTTATGTACATTCGGGTTGCGTGAGCGAACACTACACTTGCATAGGTCATGACTGAACGTATGCAAGTTTTGTAGAGTGTCACCTTGTTAAAAAGGGACAGTTTATTTCGTTTCCATATCATGCACGTAAATGCATGAAAGTTGCCACCATGCCTGCCTTTACAGCGGTTAAACAATATTAAGAAAGTCGATAGAGAACAACTCTTCTTCTTCGTTTGTAGACCTAGAATCCAGGTTCCTAAATGGAGAATGAGTTAGCACTGTACTCTCAAAGCTTGCTTCAAAAGTCAACCGAAATATGGAATGGTAGACCCGGGCTTATTGATTCTAAGACCAATAAAATATCAGTAAAATACTGAAGAAAGAGAATACTTCTACTACTTTTACTTAAAGCAGCATGGATTGTGAGCTCGTCCGTACGAAATTGACCGTTCAGTGTAATCGTGACCCTTCATATTTTAAGGTGGTTCATGTCATAATGTACTAGATTCTCGGAAAAAAAAGTAATCATATCCTTGACTTCTTTATTGGTGGCTCCGATTTTCCACTTCTATGAGTGCATCATAAGGCAAGTGGTTGGTGAGATAGAGAACACTCTTATTTTTCTGCACCAATCCACCGTCCTAGAGCTTGTGCACGAAATACGGATCTAGGGAATAGGGCTCGAACATTTCGGCAACCAGTGAGGGAGACAAGGTATAAGCTACTACTGTTACAGTCGTCTTGTGAAGCACTATGGCGTTGAAGAATGGTTGCCGGTTCAGCGTCTAATGAGGGCAGAGTAGTGGGAAGAATGAAGTGCTCATCCAAAGCGGGTTCCACTGGAGGCGAGTTTTGAGCGACAGGGAGCTTTAGTTGGTTCAACTCTTATACACCCTACCTACTGCCTTCAACGAATAGGCCGATTTCAATTGTCATAAATTCTTAGAGCGAGAAAATATTTCGTAATAGGCATTCTTAAAGAGCTTTATTAATCAGATGAATAGTAACCGATAATATTAATAAGGACTTGTGTGAATTCATTCACATATGTACCAATAATCTAAGACACTAATACCAAGGCTGCTGAATATTGATAAAAAATATGTTTATTTCTTCACGTAACTGATAAAGGTCATGAACAGTTAGTCGCGTCCAAGCTATCTTTATTGTGATCATATTATTGTATAACTTTTCTAAATCATGTTGTAAATCAATTACGAAGGCGCAACGTGTAGCGCTATCAGAATTATTTTACATTGTATCATTTGTAAAGAATCGAGGTTAATTCTCCTGAATTTAGATACTTCATATTATCCTGTAAAGAATTTTCCCATTGCAAACTTTGAAATATGCATTTACAAGTCATTTAATATTTCTTTACTAAATCGAAGAAAAACCACAAGGAATATCTGAGTGCTTTAAAGATAGATTTGATTTCTAAGCTATCAAAAATATACGGAAAAGCCGCAATATTTGTGTTGTAATTAATAAAACAATAAAAAAAACATGTTTTCAATCGAAATACTGGACGCGGGTGTTTGCCACACAACAAGCCCCAGCAAGCCAAGTTTAATAACTGAAATTTCATTTCAGTGTTCGTCTGGATCCTCTCTAGAAACAAGAAGCTTGAAGGCGACGCTAAAACTGCTGTCGATAATTTCATCAAGGAACACTCCAAAGAGATAGACTCTTCGAAACTTGTGCATACCGATTTTTCAGAGGAAGCCTGCAAATTTACCAGCTCCAGCGTGATAACCGAACACGGAAAACATTAAGACTGAAAAGATACTTGAAGCATTGCGGGGAATCAAACTGAATAGTAACCACAGTATTAAGATTAACATAGGTTTTGGTTTTATTGGTAGAACCTGACTGTAAACTCCATAGCCAGCCTATTACTGGTATGACCATATTTTTCGCAATTTTCCCTAATGTCAGTTCGGCCTAAAATTCTTTGCCTTCGTTAAAGACAGATTTGCGTTTATGGGACTTTTTAAGATCGCAAGAATTTTTTGTTTGGATTTTTATCTACCAATAAAGAACTTTTCACCAATTTATTTGATAGTAATAAACTAGACATCGATGGGTAATATCACTCCTACGCATTTCCAGGAGGGGACTGTTATTTTATTTGTTGACGCTATTGGAACCGGATCTGCCTTTTCCTTAGCCTCAACAACGATCGGGGCTTTGTTCTACCAATATTACTGATTTAAACAACACAGCTGTGTATTTCAATGAACTCAAGAGTACCTAATAGTCTTGATCGATATCATACGGATCCAAATGTGTTTGTACGTTGTCAAGAATTTCAGCAGATACGTCTATCTGTTGGATGAGAATAAAACTATTTTCTAGATCACTCTAGACATACTCGTATTATGTTTAGACGATATCTTCGTTGCGTTAATCGTGACACATTATATATATAGTTTATATACTTCTACTGTTTATTTTATATACTTTATAATAGACTTCTAAGCTTTATTAAATTGTGTTTATGTGATATTTTCGTGTTTTTTTTCCATCCAATTTTTAAACATCTGTGTAATTTTACTGCACTAATATTTTAGTTCCAACAAGATAGTTCCAACAACTCTATCCTGTCTAATTATACGGCAAAACGATTGAGCGTTTAGATTTGGTTATCCGTTATTTCAATGCAATTGAAACTTTTCTATTTAGATAATCGATTAACATTAGGTCAGTTTTTGTTGTAGTTTTATTCCTGGTTCTTCTGGACAGGCCAATACCAAATAAAATCATTGTGCTTTTTTTTTTTACTCGCATTGTAACACAATCAATAATCAGTTGACGCGTTGGGTCAACGGCCTTGAGGAATTACGATAACCATTTGCCAAATGCTTTCGTATTTCATTATGGGTTCTAAAAGTATGTAGTTTCTATTATGTTCACTACTAGGTTTCTCTGCTAGGTTTTGAGTTTCAGCTTATAGAAATCACAAGCCACCACCCAACTTGATACACTATCGCGAAGTCTCACTTGTGTTGAAATAGAATGTAATAGGTTGGGGAAAAAGTTTTTTCGCATTATAGTATGTATGAACTTGTAATAAAATCTCTTTGGCTATATACTATTTGTATCTATCTGGCTGGTTTTGGTAACATTAAAAGTTTAAATTTTAAAGAAGATAATTCCGAATTCAAATTAGGAAAATGTGTGATTTTTATTTATTTTTCGAACTGTCAATAAATGAGTGAATTTAATGAAGAAATTCGATACATTTTAAAATTTTACTACAAAAAAGGGAAAAATGCAACACAAGCCGCAAAAAAATTTTTCTATGTTTATGGACCTAGTGCAGTGTCTGTGAGAGTAGCACGTATTATATAATGGCTCTCCCACCGGACAAATTGAAATGTACAATCACTTTACGGCAGAAACAGCCAAGATGGTGGTGGTCTACTCGTGCTGGCTTATTATACGCCGTATCCACTAGTAAATACCGATTGTGGATCGTAGTTATCATACTAAAAACTCTGCTGTCCAGTTGCCCGATTACACTACTGCACAATATTTTTGTGTAACAATTTATGTATAATATTTAACTCAATAAAGACGGATAAGTACAAATAAGAGTACATAGAAACTTTTAGTATTAAGAGCCCCGTTTGCTGATTTTTATTCAATGACAATCAAAGGGTAAAACTACAGTCGCGCATCGAAGCTGACAGCACAAATTTTTTTTTTTCTAGAACAAAAATTAATAACAAAGGATGAGTGAATATTTATCTAAATATTTATAATATGTAGGAATGAACTTGTGATAATTCTGGCTTTCCGTCTGTTTAGAATCTGTGAGAGTACACTATTGAAAAAGAAACGAAATATCGGAAAGATAGATTTTTGGGTTCTTAATAAATTATGACTATTTTACATAGACAATACCTAATTTTATTTAATCTATTTTCATATTAATGTATTTCACTTTTCAAATTTCAACCACTAGCCACTTAGCATCCTGTGTATTTTATCTGTACACCTTTTTATTGTTAGTAAAAAACAGCCTAAACTTAAATCTAGGTTATCATCGCCTCCGAATTCATTTTGACACAGAATTTGTCATTTCAATGTAGTTAATCGAATTATCTAAAATAAAAACTTGTAGTTTATTTTTATACCTATCTGATTGCACTTTATTATCGAAATTCCACGAACCAGAATCGATTTAGGATCTTTTTATTATCAACATTTACCGTAACATGTATCTATGCGAAATTATCTTACCTCCGTAAGCAGTGGCGGTATCATAAAAGCTTTTAACTTTAGTGGAGTTCCACGTCTGACGGTGGATCCGCTGTACCTTTTAGACCCAAATCTAGGTATGCTATTGGGTATTAGTGAATTATTTTCCAATAGATTTTAATGTCTCCGTCCATTTTGAAAGAAATTCAAATTAATTACATTATAGTTTGGTACCCAATTTAAGTTCAATGATGAGAGTCTAAGAACAGTCTGAGAAACTAAAAAAAAATTTTGTTCTGTCTCGATTCCCTTTATGGGTTTTATTTCTCCAGAAAAAAATACAATACATACACACACACAACGCATACAAATATAAATGTAGATAGTCCAAATGAAAGAGAGTGAAGTGTTGGCCCACAAATAGCGGTAGGCAGCGGCTTGGCTCTGCATTCTGCTGCTCTGGCATTGCTGAAGTCCATGGGCGACGGTAACCACTCACCATCAGGTGGGCCGTATGCTCGTCTGCCTACAAGGGCAATACAAAAAAAAAGGTTAAAGTTTGGCAATGAAGAAAAGAAGTCTCCAATATTGGTCTACAATTCAAGAAATTGATTGCAGTGATTACTGTTGGCAGAAGATAAAATAAATTCAAAATCAATCGAATCAATACAAAATACACAATTATTCTTTATTTAATCACAGTCAAGTAAATTAATCAAGAAACAATCATCACCAGAAGTTGCTTGTGAAGAAATCGGTTTTGAATTGATCCGTGTAGGAGCAGTCTTCTTCGGAAAAATCTTTAAATACGAACTGCTTTCGGTGCTCGGCCAGTTCTAGGTAATTCGAAAGAGCAGTCTCTACTTTCTTTTGAGTATCGCCTTGCAGTTTGTTCTTGGTTCTCGTGAGGATCCATGTGAAAACTGGAGGTCAAAACGTGAACACACATCCACAATTAGTTATAAGAGTATTTTAAATTGTCTATCTGTTCATTTGTAAAAGATCTCGTGGACGAAGCCCCATGCGCTGGACTGATCAGGTGAAAATCCTTACCAAAACCCCATTTAAGGGCGATCGCGAACTATGGAGAACAACTGTCAAGAGTTTAATAAACAAGGATTCACATGACCAAGACTGCTTTGCCAAAAGTAACCGACTCTGATGATGATGATCTGTTCATCAATCAAAAGATACATTCGGATTCCACCATTTCTAGTAACTACCTTTTCTCTGCTCATAAGGGACAGAGAAACTCAGGACTCACTCAGTGTTAGTTTGTTACCGTAGCCTATAAAAAATATTATCATATGACTAGCTGTACCCGTACGCTTCGCTGGGCATTTAAAATTTAAAAAAAAAATAATTTTCGGTAGGCAGCGGCTTGGCTCTGCCCCTGGCATTGCTGAAGTCCATGGGCGACGGTAACCACTCACCATCAGGTGGGCCGTATGCTCGTCTGCCTACAAGGGCAATAAAAAGTAAATAAAAATTAACATTATTATTTCTCATCCTCACAAAGATTCTCATCATAAACGCCCCCGCAACTGGGGTAGGGAGTCCAACACTCGTATAAATATTAGCCTATCGATGAAGTACATGTATTTTCTACATGGATACCAAGTTTCAAGTCAATCGGATCCATGGTTCAGTAGTTATAACGGAACATCCGTAAAAACCACTGTAGATTTATATATTAGTATTTAGATTACTCCCGCCTTCCTTGAAAAGTGTGATCGAAGTTTCAAATTGTATTTTATTTAACGAATATCTTTAGAGCAGGGAGTTATTGTAAGACTGCATGACTAGATGCCACCGCTCAGCTTATATCTACCGCGAATCAGTCCAGCATTCCAGTTTGACGGGTGGAACAGATGTTATTATTTTTTTTCCTACCTAAGCTGATAGCCTTGAGAGGCTATTTCAGCGTAACCTTAACAAGTAGGTGAGTTCACGGGACTCGAACCTGCCGATGTTGGTAACACGAACCCTAGCAAGAGCCATGATTTGCAGAATCTACCACCGGATCGGAAACGCGACCCACTGAGAAGATCCGGCGAGAAACTCGGTGGGCTGTGTCTATGGGTTCATTCGCTCGTCGAGCCCTTCGTCGCAAGCGACGGCGCCGAGGACGGTGACCGGTGCTTGTGGTACCTAAAAGCACCGTTAATGGATCGGGAGGATCCGTAATGATGTATTTTGGGCAAGGTGTTATGCAGTGCCTTCTTTCTCATATCTAAAGCCGGGGACGGCATCCACGTTATGTTAACCGCTTAAGGCGTAGTGGGCGATGAATTTCCCCTAGTCTTAAGTTTTACTACAATGGTTAGAGCGGTTACTATGACCCCAAATAGAATAAAATGTTTGAAGTTTTGGTTTCACTGACCATAATGAGTCCTGGTTTTCTTCTTCAACGTTTTACACGTGTACGCTATGGCGTATTCATCGTAATCAGTGGACAAGATGAAAAACGGAAACTGCAGAACTTTATCTGTAAAGGAATGTAGTCATTTTTACAAATCACGTTAATCGACTTTCGTAGATCTGTCATTGTGACCGATTAGTGGAAATTCTGTTAATTAATTACCATCTTAATTTAACTTTCTTTTATAGCTTAGATGGATGGACGAGCTCACAGCCCACCTGGTGTTAAGTGGTTACTGGAACCCATAGACGTCTACGACGTAAATGCGCCACCCACCTTGAGATATAAGTTCTAAGGTCTCAAGTATAGTTACAACGGCCCTACCCTTCAAACCGAAACGCATTACTGCTTCACTGCAGAAATAGGCAGGGTGGTGGTACCTACCCGCGCAGACTCACAAGAGGTCCTACCACCAGTAATTATGCAAATTATAATTTTGCGGGTTTGATTTTTATTACACGACCAGTCACTACTTAAATGTTCTTCAAAATAATTTGTATTACTGAAAGCTTAAAATTAGGAAAATAAAAATCGGAGCCTTAAAATAAGAATGTCGATCGTCTTGAAGAGAACTATTCATAGAAGCAAAAGCCGAAGAAATAGACGTAACGGTTGTATAGCCTGTAGTATAAGTGCACGAATAGTAAGCAGTAGAATACTAAAAAAGGATACTCGATCGACATTTTATGTACGTTATTTTGTGTCTGTTTGTCTGTTATAAAATTGTTATTTATTACAATCCTTATTTCCAAACTCGTATTCCGAATATGATTTGTCTTATATCTATTTGTCTGTTATCAAACTGCTATTTATTAAAATCCTTAATCCAAACTCGTATTCCAAACATGAATGTGCGTTCATTCTTAGTTACTTCATGGGTAATGACCTTTTTTTTTTGAAAACCTCAGATATACAGAAAGGACCTCCATTATCCAAGGTACATTATTTATTACGTTGTCTTTGGCCGAAACTAAAAGACATGATTGTCAGACCGACTAACTTGGGGTGACCAAAAAGATCATTACCACATCTAAGCAAAAATACTTTAATCGATTTGGAGGACATAGAAAAAGAAAGAGGAAAAATGAGAGATGACAGTGAGTAAAACAGGGAACAAGAAATAAAACATGTGAGAAAGGCTTTTGTAAAGAAATTTGAGACATTAATAATAAATATTTTATAGATAACTGTGCTCATCAAAGTGAACCTATATGAAGGGTCTTTATACTAAAGGACTCTTTCTTACCACCGCCCTCGTGGCTGACAATGAACTGAGCCTTGTTTCCAGCATCAAACGTGGGGTCGACTCTTGCCAGGTAAGACTTCTGGGTTCTATTACCCCCGTCGACATTCACGTACGTCTCCCGTAGGGTGTAGCCAAGGTTGTCTTCCTGGAAGTCCAGGGTGGCACAATCGTAGATTGGCCGTCCATCGCTTGCATAGCTTGCAACGTTGTACCATACCCCTGAAAACTGTAATTTCACCATAAATGAACGTTTTTCTGATCATGCGAATGTTTGAATTCGTATTTGGTTCACTATTTATCCCTAAAGCCAACATTCAGCCAGATTCAGAAAGTAATTGTAACAATAATGGTCATGTTATTCGAAATATACAGGGTGAAAAGGACATTTGTCCCTGAAATTGATGTCGTCGTGGTCTAAAAGATAAGACGCCCGGTGCATTCGTATCAAGCGATGCGCCGCTGTTCGGATACCGCAGGTAGGTACTAATTAATGTAAAGAAATACGTACTTAACAAATATTTACGATTCATTTCTACGATGAAGGAATAATATCGTGTATTAACAATCAAAACTGCAAAATTATAATTTGCGTAATTACTGGTGGCAGGACGGCTTTTGAGTTCGCACCGGAAGGTATCACCACACTTGCTTTTTTTTTTCGGGCCGGGTGCCAAACCTCCTACGAAGTCCCCGCGCCAAGGGGGCGTGCGGGGTATGTGGAACTTGACGCTCTGCAAGGGACCTTAACCGGGTTCTGACCTCGGAGAGGATCGGACGCTTGGGCGAAGAGTGCAGGGGAGTCGTTTAGTGGGTGGGCCCTAAAAAGGTATCACCACCCTGTCTATTTCTGCCGTGAAGTCATTATGCATTTCAGATTGAAGGCTGGCACAGCCGATGTACTGTAAAACTGAAACCTTAGAACTCATGTCTCAAGGGGTGGTGGCATTTACGTTGTAGATGTCTATGAGCTCTGGTAACTACTTAACATTAGATGGGCCGTGAGCTTTGCCACCTATATAAGAAATAAAACTGATATTGCAATAAGCTTTAAAAGTTGGAAAGGCGTTATACAATACAAATGAGACTTGTACCTCATTTTTAGGGGTGAATGGCGGTAGTCACGTTGTGATGCGTGACAACTGGGTATCAGATGAGTCGTTAGCTGGTCTTTCAGTTTAGGGCCATAAAACAAAGTAACTCGGAGACCTAAAGCCGTTTCAATCTACTATTGAACGGCACGACTCTAGCCTAATATATCTGCATACATAATCACTTACCTTAGTATAATCCAAGTTCTCTTGCAGCTTCATATTTGGACACTCACCCGGTAGCGTGAACTCTGCTCCTAATGCGCCATACAAAGAGATACAGAGCAGAAACAATAACATTGTTAAAACGAGCGATTGGTACGAACGTTGCAGATCAAATGGTCTCGCACCCCACGCGGTAATTATCCAATAAAACCAACAATCTTAATAAAGACGGCTCGAGCTGAAATGGTCGCGAATCGGACGCAGAATCCAATTGCCGAGACGAGGTATTCTGATAAATGCTTAAGGCGTATGTATAGTGGCTGATTTTTTTACGATATATCATTTTTGTATCATTTTCCGTAAATAGGTAGAAGAGCTCATGAACCAAATAGTGCTTACTCATATTTCGATCATGTTGAGATAAGAGGTAAATATTTCGATTATCTTTCTAATAACAAAAATATAAACGACTATTTTTTTTTTATTGCCCGTGTAGTTAGACGAGCATACGGCCCACCTGATGGTAAGTGGCTACCGTCGCTCATGGACTTCAGCAATGCAGGGGCAGAGCCAAGCCGCTGCCTACCGTTAAACAGTTGGATAGGGACGGGTTTGGAGCTACAGGAGCAATGAGAATCAAATCAGCAAAATTCATGAATTTACCCAACATTGGTATTGAATTGTGCACTGAAGGATCTATGGGTCAGTACTAACAACTTGGCTCCATTTGAAATCCTGGCTTCATGTGTACCAGTTTCAAGGGAGTGACGATGTCCATGCGCTAGGGTAGCTTTAATATCAGGTGCCTTGTGAGCTCGTCTGGCTGTCCAAAACGAAATCAAATATATTAAAAAATAATAACCAAATTTCATTTATTTATAGAAGTATGTAAACAGTGCCTTATGGTTAGGTCAAATTTATTTACAGATTCCATTATGTTATCAGCATGAGCATTATATAAAATAATTAAAATGAATTAATGGATAGCGTACGAAAACATTACCGAGAAATTTTGTTATTCTGTATTGTTTATGTTAAATAAATTCGTTTGAAGAAATACTTAGATAAGCGTTTTCCAGAAACTAGAGGCCCCACAGTAGTCGAAATTCGACTATAATTAATTGGAATTGTAAGTTTGTACACTATTATGATTGTATTTTATACTTCTTTAATCACAAATTTCGCCAAGACTACACTATAAAAAACATTAACAAAAACAAACAATATTTAATCTCAATTTGACAACAGACGTCAAGAACAAAAGCTTGACAATAAATAGTATGCATGCGTGTGTGCGTCAAATACATGGTATGTAATGTGTGTAATGTTTTCTTTATTGATTTAATGTATATTTTATGCATTATTTAAAAAAAATATTAGCATTGTGCACTTCTTCTTTATATTCTCTATAAGTGTGGAAAATTTCATACTCCTCCGTCCGCACATTTTTCGTAAAAAGGGATACAAAGTTTTTGCTTCACGTATTAATATATAGATAGCATTACTACAATAACGATATAGTTTGGCGGGCGGGCATCATTATTCGCAGTTGGTATTAATGACGTTCATCTACAAAACCAAAATCGGAGAACCAAAGTCGACGACATAGCTCTCAAAGTCAGCAGGCTAAAGTGGCAATGGGCCGGTCACGTCTGTCGAACCAACGACGCCAGGTGGGGGAGGAAAGTCCTCGAATGGAGGCCACGGATGGGTACCAGGAGCGTGTGGCGTCCTCCAACCAGATGGACCGACGACTTAGTGCGCACGGCGGGAAGTCGTTGGATGCGGAAGGCGGAGGACCGCATTCTGTGGAGGGCATTGGGGAAGGCCTATGTCCAGCAGTGGGCAGATAAAGGCTGATGATGATGATGATCTAGAAAAACTTTGTCGTAATTCAAATAATCGATAAATACATTCGTTACGAAGCGATTCACTCGCAATCTATCAGCGACTCGTAGTATTATGACGGTAGTCATACATTAACTATTTTATTGTTTTATCTGTAAGGAGACACAGAGTCAATGACACTTACGCTCCACAAATACTAGGTACTCTTTCATAAGCTCGTCCTTAAAGAAAGAAAAAATTAATTGCATCCAGGACTTACTTTAAAAATACATCGACATTTTCCTGACATGAATATCTTGCTTAACGCAAGACACATAGTAGAACAATTCTAATTATACATTTCTCAGGAGCCAGCGTCATGACCTATGATAGCCTCTGTATTTAATTATATGAAAGACAGATTATCGCATACTCAACGCTACTCAATTGCTCAATATTCGTTGTCCCACGAAGACTCGTTTCGTATTACAATGTTAATAAAACATTTAATATTTGCTGCCAGTTTTTGTGTTGTTCACGCATACTTCACTTTACCAGGAAAATGTCCGGCAGATGTTCAATTACAACAGGAATTCAGATTGGCTGATGTATGTATCTACATTATATTAAAATTGTAATAGAAATTCTCCTTTCTGTTACAAAATATTAAATAGTTTTAAGGTATCATATTTATAAAGTCACCAACATTTTTATTAGTAGATTTTTGTATGTTTGTGATACAAATTCGTAACTTCATACGATAAATTGTTCTCGTATTCCATTCTTCTTGACAAATGTAAATATATTATATATTTTNTGTATGTATCTACATTATATTAAAATTGTAATAGAAATTCTCCTTTCTGTTACAAAATATTAAATAGTTTTAAGGTATCATATTTATAAAGTCACCAACATTTTTATTAGTAGATTTTTGTATGTTTGTGATACAAATTCGTAACTTCATACGATAAATTGTTCTCGTATTCCATTCTTCTTGACAAATGTAAATATATATATTTTTAATAAACTGGTCATTTTGATTTGATACATATGCACTTTTTAGCTAATAAGACCGTACCTAGTGTAAGAAAAACACTACTAAAGCTCAACAAACTATACATATGCGCTTTATATATAATAAGACCATAACCTAGTGCAGGAAAAACGCTATGGCGTAACAAAATTTATGTCGCAAATACCACAACAATGATACTTGGTGAAGGAGAACCGGGTTACTTAGGTTAATTTATGTTACGATGATATTTAAAGAATTAGCGATTGAAAATTTTATAAAAAAACAGCGCTTTCCCTATTTTTGATCGACCATACGTTTTCCCGCCGTGCACACTAGGTCGTCAGTCCACCTGGTTGGAGGCCGCCCCACGCTCGTGGTACCCATCCGTGGTCTCCATTCGAGGACTTTCCTTCCCCACCTGGATGCGGAAGGCGGAGGACCGCATTATGTGGAAGGCATTGGGGAAGGCCTATGTCCAGCAGTGGGCAGATAAAGGCTGATGATGATGATGATGATGATACGTTTTGGTTTTGACAGCAAATTCTACAGTGCTGTTTGGAGCTTCAGTGATTGTTTATGAAAAAGAAATTAGAAACAAACATTAGTATACCTGGTAAGGTTATTTGTGATCCCATATTACATTGCAACTAAACCAAAAAAAAAGCAAGTAATCACTATGTTTATGCTAGGTTCTAAAAATTTATTAGTGCCTAAAACAGATTTTTGGAAGAGTTGCTCCATTTACTGGTGGAAGGATCTTACTGGTGGTAGGACCTTTTGTGAGTCACCGCGGGAAGGTGTAGGTACCACCACCCTGCCTATTTCTGCCGTGAAGCAGTAGTGCGTTTTGGTTCGAAGGGTCGGGCAGCCGTTGTAACTATACTTGAGACCTTAGAACTTATATCTAAATGTGAGTGGCGGCATTTACGTTGTAGATGTCTATGGGCTCCAATAATCACTTAACACCAGGTGGGCTGTGAGCTCGTCCACCCATCGAAGCAATAAAAGAAAATAAAAAAAACCATTCCTATTTTAATTTATTTCTTTTACATTTCAGTTCTTCGGTAAATGGTATCAAGCTTATCACTATTCCAGCGATGAACAGCAGCAGAATAATTGCTCGGTCCTAGAGCTTCAGACCAAGCCCAGCGGCATATACCTGAACCAGTCAAGGATAGATAGGGGCTTGTTTCACCGTTATAGTATCGCTAAATTGGAGATACCGTCGAATTTAGAAGACGCTGCTAAATTAAATGTCAAGTTTTTCTTCGAAAACGCTCCTAGGAGACGTAAGTGCTTCGAAATATATATATTTATATAAATTTATTTAAGCGTACAGACGCTTCTTTTTTTTCGTTTCGTGGCAATGAGTCGAATTCATTGAGCAAATGTGTCCGGCGAGGCGCTCCGGTTCATGGTCAGTGGCGTAGCTACCTAGGGGCTAAGCGGGGCAGTGCCCCGGGGCCCTCAAGCTCAGGGAGCCTTCCAACCCTTCCCAGAAATCTCGATCGAAATGAACTTTTGGAGATTTCTCCCATTTTCAAAATAAAGATGACAAGTTGCAAACCCACTTTAATCATGACAACTCAGTTGAGAGAAATTCAAAAGTTATTCCTAAGGAATTCCCCTAAATTCTTTCTGTAGGCTGGCAATGTTCTCAATTTGACAGATAGTGATATTTGCGTTTTATTATTCATCGACTCGGCATCGACGTACATACTATAGTGGGAAAAGACTTTTTCCCCAAGAATGTTGTTACTGTTTAATATTTTTATTACCTAAGCTACTAAATCTTTGCAGCCCTGCAGTGCACAAAAAAGCTTAAGTAGCTTAGCATTTTTAAAGTACATATTTGTATATTTAATATTTTTATTTCATAAAACCTAATCAGTTTACATAGCTGTGGGGCCTCATTTTTTAATTTGCCCCAGGCCCTTGGTTACCTAGCTACTGTTCATGGTCGATTCTTAACGACGCTCCTATTATCCGACTCAGGCCACAGGGTAACGCAAAGCCGCCGTTGCGCAAAACATGTCTTGTCCGATACCCCGGATCCACTCTCAGTGATTTAGGCTTTTCAAGCACCGGTCATGGCCCGTGGACGAGCGAACTCACATTTGAGTGGGTCGCGACTTCGATCCTGTTGTCGATTCAGCGAAACACTGCTCTTGTTAAGGTCAGTGTTAGCAAACTTTTACTGGTGGTAGGACCTCTTGTGAGTCCGCACGGGTAAGTACCACCGCCCCGCCTATTTCTGCCGTGAAGTAGTAATGCGTTTCGGTTTGAAGGGTGGGGCAACCGTTGTAACAACTAACTATACTTGAGACCATAAAACTTATATCTCAAGGTGGGTGGCACTTTTAGGTTATGGATGTCTATGGGTTCCAGTAACCACTTCACAATAGGTGGGTTACAAGCTCGTCCACCAGTCTCAGCTTAGATATAATAACTCCTTAGGCTATTAGTGAATAGGTAGGAGTAAAAGGACTGAAATTTCTCGACGGTACGTTTGTTTTTTTTTTTTTTCCATAGGAGAAAATCGCCGGATCCCCACCCGCGCGGCAGGTGGGGTATGTGGGAGTTGAACCTCACTAAAAAACTCCTGCCGCTCACAACCGGCGCCCTACCTCGGACCGGGCCGGAGCCCAATCGGGGCTATTGAAACGGCGGGACAGGGTTGACGCAAAGCACATTACATCCATCCCACCGTTCCACGGACGCCGGACCGGCGGCCGCCAGCGACACGACCACCGGTTCCCTCGTTCAGCGGGCCGAGAGCCCGCTTTGATGGCGCCGCGTTAACCTTCCCCCAGAGTGGTCGGGGGAACGCGGTCTACCATCACCCGGCTTCCTACTGCGGGTGATGGTACGCCACCCCACGTCTGGGTCTCTCCCCGCACAAAACGGGTGGGACCCCTAACTCTTAGGGGGCCAGGTCACGGATACGACCCCGGTCCCGACCCCCTGCTCGGCGGCGGCGGGTTTCTGCGTAGTGAGGAGAGCTTTGCCTCACTCGCCCCGCCGCCTCCTTCTGCGAGATGGTGCACTCGCAGAAGTCGAGCATAGCATTCCATGACTCATCGCCGCCAAGCATCGACGCCACGACGCCAGGCAGCGACAAGTCAGGTCCTATCTTTGCGACCAGGACACGGCGCTGCACCTCCCAAGCGGGGCAGACAGCGAGCGTATGCTCCGCCGTGTACAGGTCGTGTCCACAATGGTGACACCTCGTCGTCGGCTCAGCCCCTATCCGGCGCAGGTACTTCCCGAAGCATCCGTGCCCGGTCAGTCGACGGTACGTTAACCAAACTTGGCAGACGACAGCAACAAATACAGAAAAAAGTAAATTAAATTATTTCAATGACTAATCCACCATGTCGGATGTGAGTAATCGCGTTCAATAACGAACTTAATCTTGAACTAGGTGCGTTCTAAATTAGTGATAATTTTTAGTAAGATTACGACGATAATAATCGTTAATCGACGTTATCTAAGGCTGTACACGGAGTCGGTATAGTTAAAACTCAAATTACAAGTTTGTTTAATTATTTGTCTGTACTAAAAATAAACTTGAAAGGCACACTGTTGTTTACAACGATTATCGGTGCCGGGGGTACATTATAGGCGCAGGGGGCGACGCAGGAAAAATCGGTAGGAAAGGCCCCTTAACACTCGTATTGATTAGCGGAAGAAATTAGCGGAGCAGTGGTCCCTAAACTCCCCTGTTAGCTACAAGATACTGGGTCGGCTCATATCATCGTCGTGCCCTAAAGGATATGACGCTCGCTGCAATTGTATCAATCGATGCAATGGGGTTCGAATCCCGCAGGCGGGTACCAATTTTGCTAATGAAATACGTACCTTACAAATGTTTACGATTTACTTCCACGGTGAAGGAATAACATCGTGTAATAGCAATTAAACCAGCAAAATTATAATTTACGTAATTACTGGTGGTAGGAAGACTTGTGAGTCCGCAAGGGTAGGTACGACCACTCTGCCTATTTCTGCGGCGCAGCAGCAACGCGTTTCAGTTTGGAGGGTGGGGTAGCCGTTGTACCATAAAATAATCTTACTCATGTCACAAAGTGGGTGGTGTAGTTTATGTTGTAGACGTCTATGTGCTCCAGTAACCACTTAACACCAGGCGGGCTGTGAGCTTGTCCATTTATATAAGCAATAAAAAATAGATCATGTCACTTGTGAACGATTTATTAGAACAGTATTTGATGAGAGTTTTCAGAATTTATGTTGGTTGAATTCTACGGTAGATCCCAGTACTCATATTAAGATATCCAAGATGGCTACAAGGAGACTCTGCCGATAGGAATCTCACATGACTCGATCATTCCAACTAGCCAGTAAACAGTTTGTATAGAAGAATTTTCCCAGTTATCATGACAGCCAATGCGTTTCAAGTTTTGTAAAAATATTAATTTTTTGTTGCAGTGAGGATAAGAAGATATCCATTTTCCGTTTTGGCCACTAATTACCAATATTACGCTACCGTCTACACGTGTCAGTACAGTCCACTAACAGATAAGCATTTTAGTAAGTAAATTTTTAAGACATTTATTATATATGTATTGGCTTTATTAATCAATTGATAGATAGCATCCAAGTGCCACCAGCTGTTGTCACCAGCGATTCCCAACTTGTGGTACGTACACTCCGGGGGGTACGCGAGGTCGAGGTCTCATTGGGGGCATATGAAAATTATATTTGGAATGGAGGAAATGTTGGGCAGTTAAAACACTAAACTTTATATAAGCATTATCGTAGTGCATTAAGTCTAAAAATACTAGCTTTTTTATTTTATTTTATTTTTATTGCTTGGATGGATGGACGAGCTCACAGCCCACCTGATGTTAAGTGGTTACTGGAGCCCATAGACATCTACAACGTAAATGCGCCATCCACCTCGAGATATAAGTTCTAAGGTCTCAATATAGTTACAACGGCTACCCCACCCTTCGAACCGAAACGCATTACTGCTTCACGGCGGAAATAGGCGGGGTGGTGGTACCTACCCGTGCGGACTCCCAAGAGGTCCTATCACCAGTGAAAATGATTTTAATAACTAATAACTAACTATGATGCTGGACTATGAGCATTGGCTTGGTGAAATGCAGTATTATATGCTTATCGAAGATTATGTCTCTTAAGAGAAACCAAACGCATTTTTAGACGTATGGAGTACGTCCCTCCTTCAGGAGAGGGATAATCATAACGAAAAAGTTTTATTAAATAGGGTAAGGCAGCGGCTTGGCTCTGCTCCTGGCATTGCTGAAGTCCATGGGCGACGGTAACCACTCACCATCAGGTGGGCCGTATGCTCGTCTGCATACAAGGACAATAAAAAAAAAATTTTTTAGATTCACCGAGCTAATAGGTGAGCTCACGGGGCTTAAACCGGGAGTATTGCTAACACTGGCCCTAGCAAGAGCAGTGCTTCGCAGAATCTACATACCCCCAGATCGGAAACGTGATCCACTGAGAAGATCCGGCGAGGAACTCAGTGGGCTGTATCTATGGGTTAATTTACTCGACGAATAATGGATAAGAGGCCCGCAGTATTCGTATCTTTTTTTGCCTACCTGTTCGTTGGTAGTTTAAAAGATTATTTCAGCTACTTTCGGTTGGTGAGCTCCAGGAGTCAACCTTACAGAATTTCCTAATACTGAGCAGTATCCTAGCTAATGCAGTTCCTAGCTTGACAAGAGGTACTTCGCCTTCAAGGCCCAATGCCACTTGTCAAAGATTTATATAGCGGGAATGGAGTTGTCGCGCTCCAGTAGTGTCCGGAGAGCGAGGCCTTTTGAAGATCACAATTGTACTTTTCATGGGGTTGATGCAATGCGCCACTTATATTCTTATATAAATATAAATACTTATAAAACTGAGACTTAGAACTATGTTTCAAGATAAATAGCGACGTTTACGAATCTGGTAAACACTCATCTATCTATCTAAGAAATAAACTAGAAGGGAACGAAAAAAGGTTGGGAAGCACTGGCACAACTAACATTTCCCATACAACAAAATTCTTCAATGTAGTACCTAAAGATGGAATCCGTTTGTCATTTTTGTTCCAGTCTACTGCTTCTGAATGCCCCCTTACTTACTCTTGAATTCTCTCTTAAGAAATGATGGAACAACCGACTAACTGAGTCAATAAAACCTAAACATGTATTTATCTTTTTCAGTCTACATCTGGATTTTATCAAGGAATCCAATCTTGAACGATGTGTCGAAAGAATTAGCTACGAAGCCACTAAGTCAACTGGGCATTGACGCAACGAAGATCAAGAAAGACGATCTTACTAGATGCACTCCGAAATATTATGAGGATTCCCAAACTGAACCGATGACCTTTAGATATCCTGTACCAGTATAGATAATAAATACATCTTTGTCAAACGTACAAATAAAAGAAAGGGTGAATAAATCATTTAAATCCATTAAACATTTTATTGAAGTGATATTTATTTTATTATTTGGCAAATTGCGAAAACAATAGTGGATTGTTTGTGAATTTATCAAGGTCAAAAGATTTTTGGACGCTACAACTTTTAAGCTATTGTTAATTTTCTTAAAATATATGTCCGTAATGTGTAGGTTGATGGTTTTTTTTTGTCACATCGCCCGTAAAGACGACCTGTTATATCCCTGGCCTGTATAGACTAATGCTTACCAAACACCTTACTCATCATAAACCCTCTTACAATGATTTCATAAGAACATACCAGTCTCAGTTCGGGTCAGATCTTCATTGAAGTGGAACGTTTACCAATTTTCCTCAATATCTCCAAATTCTTTTATTATAATTAGTTATCTATATATATATAAATGATATTTATTTCTTTTTTATTGCCTAGATGTGTGGACGAGCTCACAGCCTACCTGGTGTTACGTGGTTACTGGAACCCATAGACAACTACAACGTAAATGCGCCACACACCTTGAGATAGAATTTCTAAGGTCTCAGTATAGTTACAACGGCTGCCCCACCCTTCAAGCCGAAACGCATTACTGCTTCGCGGCAGAAATAGGCGGGGCGGTGGTACCTACCCGTGCGGACTCACAAGAGGTCCTACCACCAGTTGCTGTTCGTTAGTCTCGCTAAAACTCGAGAATTTTGGTCTTGAATTATTTGTGGAAGTCCAGAGAAGGTTTAAAGGGTAGATAAATATGAAAATGTTCGGAATTAAATAAAAATAACAAATTTATTTTTCCTTTGATGTGTTCCCCGTCGGACGGATTCCTTTTGTTTGTTTTAAGTTTATTTTATACAAAAGTTTGGGTCTTTTATTTATAGATTGAGGCAATACGAAGTCTGCCGGGTCAGCTAGTTCTTTATAAATATTTGGCAGTGTCGAATAAATCCTTTTTTAAAAAGAGTTCGGCCTTCTCACTACTAACAGAACGTAACTTCGGGTCACTGGTAATATCAGTAGACGAAGACCAAGAGGCCGCAACCCAAGCAGATCCATTCTCAACATCAAGCTGCATAATAGTTTTTTTTCTTACCTACCTACGCATGCTAATAGCCCTGGAGGCTATATCAGCGTTACCCTAGCTTGTAGGTGAGCTCTCGGGGCTCAAACCAGGAGGTGTTGTTGCACTCGCTAACTAAAGTCGTCGTGGCCTAAAGGATAAGACGTCCGCTGCATTCGTATGTAGCAATGCACCGGTGTTCGAATCCCGCAGGTGAGTACCAATTTTTCTAATGAAATACGTACTCAACAAATGTTCACGTTTGACTTCCACGGTGAAGGAATAACATCGTGTAATAAAAACCAAACCCGCAAAAATATAATTTGCGTAATCACTGGTGGTAGGACCTCTTGTGAGTCCGCACGGGTAGGTACCACCACCCCGCCTATTTCCGCCGTGGAGCAGTAATGCGTTTCGGTTCGAAGGGTGGGGTAGCTGTTGTAACTATACTGAGACCTTAGAACTTATATCTCGAGGTGGGTGGCGCATTTACGTTGTAGATGTCTATGGGCTCCAGTAACCACTTAATACCAGGTGGGATGTGAGCTCGTCCATCCATCTAAGCAATAAAAAAAAAAAGACTGGTCCTAGCAAGAGCACTGCTTCGCAGAATCTATCACCGGATCGGAAACGCGACCCACTGAGAAGATCAGGCGACAAATTTAATGGGCTGTTTCTATGGGTGATACTCTCCATCTCCGGTGATACCATGACGCGTAGAACAGACACAGACGGAAGAGCTAAACGAAAGACGAGGCACAGAGATAAATTAATCACAAATCATTGAATGAGTCTCGGTAATGAGGAAGATGAAATACTTCTGATGATGCAGAATGGTTCTGACGACCCATGCGGACTCAGATTACCTGCCACAAGATATTAAATGCGAAATTTTATTAAGTTTGATTTTGATTTTACAATCTACACCGTGGAGGTTTTTCGTGTCTCCTTTTAGTAAGCAATTTATTAAAATAAAAAAAAGAGCGCGTCACACTATTTCAAATGCGATTTTCATTGAAAAAACTGAAAGCTTACTATAATTTCATTTATATTAATTAGATAAAATTAAATTATTACTAACAGATTAATCATACTTAAAAATATATGTGCTGCCATCTATTATCAGGTATGTATATTACCGCTTCACTGTAAATTATTGAATTAAGATACTATGTGCTTTTACAACGCTAAAAACTTAATTTAATGTTTTATAATAAAATTAATATATGTAGTTATATAATAAATTATTTACTCTAAACCGAACATTTTATTACTATGTTAATTATTCAGGGATTATAAGAAATGTTAGTACACTAACTCAATCTATATATTAATACGTGAAGCAAAAACTTTGTATCCCTTTTTACGAAAATCGCGCGGACGGAGGAGTATGAAATTTTCCACATTTATAGAGAATATAGAGAAGAAGTGCACAATGCTAATATTTTTTTTAAATAATGCATAAAAGATGCATTAAATCAATAAAGGAAACATTACACACACTACATACCATGTATTTGACGCACACACGCATGCATACTATTTATTGTCAAACTTTTGTTCTTGATGTCTGTTGTCAAATTGAGAATAGATTAAATATTGTTTGTCTTTATTAACATTTTTTTATAGTGTAGCCTTGGTGAAATTTGTAATTACAGAAGTATAAAATACAATCATAATAGTGTACAAACTTACAATTCCAATTATTATTGTCGAATTTCGACTACTGTGGGACCTCTAGTAAGTATAATAGTAGTAATAGTAGAAACCTTATTAAACTAGACACTAGATGGAGTTACACAATTTAATACAATTCAAATTGATGTTTAATTGTTATTATATTAAAGTTTATTTTTGAACTTAAATGTTGAATAACGATGTAGGGTCCACTCCAGTCCAGTGTTTTTTTTTTTTTTTTTTTTTTTTTTATTGAAAGTTTACTGGTGGCCCGAAGGCCTTTCCAGTTTCACCAGGACAGGTGGGCGAGCAAAGGCTCAGCCAAGAGGGGTGGGATTTGCTAACAACTGCCCGAGCGCCTC